GAGAGAGAGAGAGAGAGAGAGAGAGAGAGAGAGAGAGAGAGAGAGAGAGAGAGAGAGAGAGAGAGAGAGAGAGACAACGGCCATTTCACGACTCGTGGGCAATGAAGGAGCACCCTTGACATGACTGTATGTGACCTAAATCGTCACCTGTATACATTCGACTCGGTTTTCTGTATTCTGTTCACGAAATCGACTCTATTGTATTCAGATAGTGGTCTGGGTCAGATACAATCATGAGAGAGAGAGAGAGAGAGAGAGAGAGAGAGAGAGAGAGAGAGAGAGAGAGAGAATGGGCACTTCATGAATCGTGGGTGTTGTAGGCACCCTCATCATGACTGTATCTGACCCAAATCGTCACCTGTGTACATTTGACTCGTGATTTGAGTCAATTTTCTTGACTCAAATTCATACAGGTGACGACTCAAATGTATACAGGTGATGATTTGGGTCAGATACAGTCATGATGATGGTGCCTATGACGCCTACTATTCATGAAGTTCCTGTTGTCTCTGTCTCTCTCGCTTTCTCCCCATCGGGACCCTCTCTATCTCTAGATATGTATATCCATGTATACAGGCTATCTGTCAAGCCCAATACATTCATGATGGGGTGTCGTGTTTCCCTGTCAGATTCACCAGTATGCACGGGAAAGAACTGAAAGAAGCCGCTGTCTCTCTTTGTTTTGTCTGCTTTTTTCCAAGCCTTTGCAACGGACATGAAAATTTTGTTTCGCCCGTTTGTGCTTTTTCCCCTCCTCGGGCTGGGGTGTTCCACGACCCCCCGTACATTCATTTTGGGGAGGCAGCCCCATTTATGCCCGTCCGCCGCATCGAGTGCAGGTGCACAATGCAGTGCGTGCCATGCACCGCACTGGATGGGCTTCATTTATATGCTGTAAAGTGCTTCTGTCTCTTGAGAATCTGTGCATGACCATGGATGTGTCTGTTATGGGATCTCAGGTCAATGTGCGGCTTGCAGGAGGGTATCCACTGAACCCTCCTGTGGGTTATGTGAAATCATCACGAGAGCTCCAATTGAAGCAGGACCATGCACATGTCGACAGTCTCGGTTTCTGCCATATAAAGGGATTTGTGGCGGGGCAGTGGGATGGCAGCCGCACATTAAAGGATTTTGTTGATGAGGTATGTGACCCATATGCTAACACCACCACTTCCACCAAACCTGAAGCTCACCCATTGTCTGGTATCTCCCCTCATTCCCTTCCCTCCCTCCCTCTTACCCCCTTCTCTACTTTCCCCCTTGGCTATCTCCATTCTTTCGTTCTTCCCTCCTGTCTCCCTTCTTTCCATCCTCCATCCTCCTCATCCTCCTTTGGACTTCTCTCCCGTCTATCTCCCTTCCTGCTGCCGCTCTCCATCCCTTTGTATTTTTCTTTTTTAAACAGGGCGTATGGCGTGTCTCTTTGTCTAAATATACATGAGCAGCGCACCAGGCTTCCTTCCGTTAGGCCAAAGGATCCCTGAACAGCATTGTTTACTGCATATCTTGGGCGATTAATTGTCAGCTAGGCTTGTCCTTCAGAATTCCTCTGAATTTCATTCCCGTGGAGAATGTCAGATTTGCTCAAAACTAAATCTCCAAGAAGAGCATGACCAGCTCGCTTCCCCTCTGTCGCTGGCGCTGCTAGTGCCCTGGCAGTCACCCTTTTTCTTCTTTTTAGACATTTTTCACTTTTTCCTTGTATCAACTGCTGTCCCAGCTTGGTGCGCTGAAATTTCAGCGAAAGAAGCACTTCCGTCTTTCCACAAAACTGGGACAGCTCCTCCGTGAAAGTGTACCTTGCTCTGGCCCATTGCTCTGTTGCCTCGTTACGTCTAATTAGGCAGTCAAGGGTGTCCTTTCAGCGGTCTGAATTGTTTGTGTCCTTTTACTTACGTCTGATATGTAGCCAGTAGCTTACAAGGAGAGTTATATAATAGATAGGTCATTTCAGGGTTCTAAGTTCTAACTTTCACTGGCGGAATGGCCTTGTATTCCTCCCAGGAGATCTGTCTAGATTCCTCCCCACCACCTTTGCCCACCTTCTCCAAATCATGAAGCTTGGCAGTATAATCAGTGAATGGGGACTAGGTTTCTGATTTGATTCTGCCATGTCCACATACCGGGATCAAATTCCAATCCCTAAACACCAGATGTAGTTGAAACTCTCTTTCCGGATATAGCCCCTTAAACCACGTACATTCCAACTCATTTGTTATCACAAAGCACAAGCCCACTTTGGCGAGAACGCTCATGACAACCAGAATGTGCATGAATCTACAGCCTGAAGGATATCAAGAGTTCATACCAAAGCGGCTCTAAAAAAAATTCAGATTACCCCAAGTCTCGAAGCATCATGAATCAGGTTTCAACAGAAGGTAATGACCTCGTACAGCGTACCATACAGATCGTGGTAGACTCACGCCCACAAAGCAGTTCCAGATGCTCTCGTGGAGATAGTCAAATGTCAAGTGTATGCCCAGCCTAACCATAGAGGACCTCCACTTGTATCCAAACAAAACCAAACTAGAAAAACTGGGTAATCAGGTCTAGAACATACGTACAATCTGATTATAAAAACGTATGACCCACACTCAAAATCATAACTATATACAAGCTAGATCCTATCTGTCAACATGATCTCATAGGTTCAACTAAAACCAGCGCAAACGGCACGACTTCATTCTTTCCCGCCATGGATTTTCGGTGAGCATTGAGGACCGTATGAGGTTCGGCTTTTTCCTGTTCTATCTCTTCCTCCCCCTACTCTCTTCCCCTTTCCTCCCCCTACTCGTCTCCCTCCCCTTGTGGAGAACTACTAAATGCATACGAACGAGGGTCATTAAGGGAACAGACAAAGTATAAGGTGCAGGTGTGCTGACAAGCAAATGGGTTTTGTACCAAAGTTGCCTGGGATTTGGCGCGTGGCTAGCGCTGCTATCATGGAGCGGGAGGCGGGGGAGACAAAGGCGCTGATGTGTCGCGCGATTGCTGCTTGCACGTCGCAAGTGCTGCTGATGTGGTGGGCACGGGCTTTTGGGGGGGGGTGTGGTTGCGGCTGGTTGGCACGTTGGCGCAGCGCGTGGGCGAAGAAAGGAGAGTGTGGGAGTATCTGGCAGTGCAAGTGCGTGCTACACGCGGAATGGACGTGAGCTCCTGGCGGAGTTTGTGGTCGCTGTCGATGGCCGGGTGGGCCCTGCAGGGGGTGCACATGCGTGCTGATGGCGCACTGCCATGTTAGCGCTGAAGTGTCCAGGCGTCCCGAAACTGGTTTGGGCGTTAGCCAATTGCTGCAACTTCATTGGAGGCTACATGACGGGAGCGAGGCAATAACAGCGACACTTGGTATTTCCGGTCTTTTGAAAGCACGTTTGTGCCATCTTGCTGCTTCACGCTTCATTCAGGCTAATGCTGCAGGTTAGTATGCCGTATGGAGGAGAGCTTACTTCCTCTTGGAAGCAAAGTTTTTTTATGTATCACTCTGGCTCTTCGTTCGCGGGTTTTTGTGGATGGAGGTCGGCTAGCTGCGAAGGGAGAAGAGAAGAGTGTTGTCACAGGGAGTGTGAGGAGGATTGACAGGAAGCATTGAGTGCGGGCTCTTCGAGTGTTGAAACGATCTCATCACGAGGATGCTGCTTCAACTCGGGGACGTTCACGTTCGGCCCATCAGAATGGTCTTCTTTTCGTTATTATCTTTGTCAGTGATAATCTTCAGTATCATCATGGTCATCATCATCTTCATCATCAGCAGCAGCAGCATCACATCTGGCATGGGTGATACTTTTGAAGAGGTGGGCAAGAGATTGGAAGGTGTGCTGAAGTTCTTCAGCGAAGGTCTTCTTCCCAAAGCTGCGAAGATTGTTCATCATTGCCATCATCAAGACGCTGTTTGTACTACTTCATCATCAATCATCCTTTTCCTCGCCATCATCATCATCATCGGCATAATTATTATCACTATCATCGTCAGTGTCATCAACTACCTGTTTGTCATTAACATCATCTCAGGTTGTTGCTGATCATTAGTATCATCAACGTTTCAGCATTTTGCGGTTCTCTTTCATCCTCACGGAATTGTTTGTCATCTTTTTCACGATGCGGTGAGTCATCATCTTCGATTTCACGACACGGGGAGTCATCATCTTCGATTTCATGACGCAGTGAGTCATCATCTTCAGGGCACTTTTTCATCTTCATATTGTCATCGCCAGCATCCTGTTTGGTCATCATCAGGGTGCTGATCATCATCATCACGACATCCATCAATCACAAGCATTCTCACAGGTATCAATCTAATTAAAACATCTTATACTAAATTCCTAATTAATATATCGAATATTCATAATTCCTCGTAACTCTCAAAATCTAAATCTGCGTTGTTAATTAACTTGAAGGGTATTATTTAACACCTAAATTTCTTACTGTTTAATTTTTGAATCTTTTCATCTCTATCTAGTACATACACAATAGCTACTCTACTCCAAATTAAATTTCATAATCTACAGAAATCCGGTATCCTATAATTCACCGCTGTCGATTTTAACACTTCAGTGTTTTCTCTATTATTAATCTTTATTTCTCTTCTCAGTGCTAGGATGTTTTTTGCTAATAAATGGAGGATCGTGGTAATATGGGAGAGCTCCATTCTGTAAGGGCGCCACAAGGTGGGAGGTGAAGCCCTGGAGGGAGTGGCGGCAGATTTAGGGGGATGCCCTCGTCTGGGGTTGGGGTGGGGATACTCATCCCACCGGGGCAGATTAGGGTAAGGGGTGGGTAAAGACATACTTTAGGAGGGAATTGTATGCCTTTAAGGGATAGAGGAGGGGATTGAGGGTCTGTCCCAAGTTGGGGCTGAGATGGGTTAACCATCTCGGTGGAGGCAGCTGTGGGATAGGTTGTTAAGGAGGGGAGAGGGAGGGGATCATCATCATCATCATCATCAAGGAAAAGAAAAAAAAGGGGGGGCTGCATCATGCTTATCTGGTCTTCTTACAGCTCTAGGTGGCATCTGGTTTACTTCTCATATTGGACGTAGGATTTTAGAGAAGGTAGAATCCTGACTGACGTCTTGCCAAGCTTTGGTGTTCTGTGCTCTGGGTTTGCCGATGCTAGAACGACGCTGCTGGGGGTATAGCCCTGTGACCTGTAGTAGCGGATCTGGGCATTCGTTGAGGGAGAAAGACAATCCGCTGGTGAACTGAGGGGTGCTGCCGTGACAACCTAAGGGCTTGATTTTGTGTACGCAGTGAGAACATTGCAGATATGGTTGGTATTGGTTAGGATGATACTGTCTTGGATGTTGCATTTGGTACATGGGAGAAGCTAGAAGTTGAGCATAGAATGTGAGGCCAGGGGATGCTGATGTAGTTCCTACCTTACCATAGATCTCACACCTTAAAAAAAAAAAAAAAAAAAAAAAAACACAAAGGTGGGGCACTACTAATTAGGCTATGTCAAGGTTTTCAGGTTTTTCTACAATCCTAGATGATATCGGTTGCAAGATTTTAGGGATGGTAGAATTCTGACTGATGCCTTTCAAAGCTGTGCTGTTCTGTGCCCTTGGTTAGCCATTGCCAGAACGACACTGGTCGGTGCTGGGGTGTAGCCCTTTGACCTGTTGTTGATGTAGGAGCTTGAGGCCTGGTAGGGAGATCTGGGGACTTGTCGAGGGAGGAAGACAATCCAGTGGTGAACTAGGGGATGCTGCCATGACGACCTAAGGGGCCGGGTATAGTCTAGGTAGTGAAAACACATCAGCTTTGATTTGGAATTGGTTGGTATGGCATTGTCTTTGGAAATGTTGTGTTTGGTATAGGGGGGGAGACCAGGAGTTACTCACAGATTGTGAGGCCAGGAGTGTTGACATAGTAAATTCTTACCATAGATTTAATGTCTTTCGTATCATCATCAACAGCTACTCTAATTATCGTAGTATCGGTAGTATCAGTAGTCAAAAAAAAAAAAAAAGTTATATCAAAAGTTATATCAAGCTTTTTCTGGTGTTCTGTAATCCTTAGCTGCATCTAGTCTTCTTCCTCATTTGGGATATAGCATTTCAGAGATGGCCGAATCTGGACTGATATCCGCGGAGTTGCTTTGCTCTGTGCCCCTGGTTTGCCGATGCCAGAACGACGCTGGCTGG